GCAGTGCTGGGCGGGCCGGGGGTGGTCGCCGGGCCCGGGCCCGGGGCCGGCACCCCAGGGCCGGGGCCAGCCTGGGCCGCGCCTCCTCCCCACACACTCCCCCTTACCTGCTTCAGGCTTCCCGCGACTCAAATGTTCGCGGGAAGCAGGGGAGGGGGCGGAGACTTTGGGGAGGGGGCGGAGTTGGGGCGGGGCCGGGGCCCCGTGGAGTGTCCTCCTTTGGGAGGCACAAAATATGGTAACCCTACAATGCCATTCTGGGGTGTATTAACAGGACTGTTGTATGTAAGACACTGGAGGTAATTGTCCCATTCAACTCAGCACTGATGACACTTCAGCTAGAGTACTGTGTTAACTAGTTTTGGGCACCACAATTTAAGAAAGATGTGGACAAACTGGAGTGAATCCAGATCAAAGCATTGAAAATGATAAAAGGTTTTGAGAACATGACTTGTGAAGTCAGGTTTAAAAAAAATGGATGTGTCTAGTCTTGAAAAAAGAAGCCTGAGGGAGGACCTGATAACAATCTTCAAATATGCTAAGAGCTGTTGTAACAAGGATGAGGATCAGTTGTTCTCCATGTCCACTGAAGGTAGGATAAGAAATAATGGGCTTAATCTGCAGCAAGAGATATTTAGGTCAGATATCAGGAAAACACTTTCTAACTATAAGGATAGTTAAGCACTGGAACAGGTTACTAATGGAGGCTAATGGAATCCACATCATTGTAGGGTTTTAAGAACAGGTTGGACAAACACCTGTCAGGCATGGTCTAGGTATAGTTAGTCCTGCCATGAGTGCAGGGGACTGGACTTAATTGCTTCTCGAGTTTCCTTCCAGGCCTACATTTCTATGATTCTGCAGTTTGAGGCCAGGTTGGATGAGAATGGCTACTCCATCTCCAGAGCTGTTTTCTCTGGGTCTGTGGGGTATGGAACAGGTTGAGGGGATGAGATCCAGCACCAGTCCTTTGATGTCCGCCAGACGGGCAGCGATGGGGGCAGAGCAGGTCTCATGGGTGATGGGGAAGGGCTGAGTGACCATTGATCACCATGTGGATCTGCCCTAGTCCTAGTTTATCATGACTCATGAGAAGAGGTTCTTTGCTCTCTGCACTGCACTGGGGGTAGGTGTCTATCGATCTTCTTTCCAGGCCATGGGTGGTGTTACCTCTGTTTATTTCTGAACAACTTGCATTGGGAAAGCACCTAAAAGCCCCAGTCAGGGATCAGAGCTTTTCTGAGCCAGGTGGTACATGGACACATAGTGAAAGACAGTCCCTACCTCAAAAAGTTCACAGTCTATGTAACATTTTCCAATTGTGGCTTGTTTTGTGAAGGAATATGCGTTGTGTGTGTGTGTTTTGGGGGTTGGGAATTGGCAGTGATTAAGACTTTAGTTGTATCCCAGATACCTTCAGAGTGTAGCAACTCTCCTCAGCTCCCCATGGGAATAAGGCAGAGCCATTCCCTAGGTAGAATGGATAAGCTGTTGCTCCAGAGCAGTGTGTCATGGGATATTTTATGATTTATAGCCCAGTCCCTATAGGGTGGGAGGAGAGAGGAAGGAGCCTATCTGGATGGGCTATTCAGATCCTCAGTTTGGAAGGAATAACAGTTTCATTTTAATAAACACGATCAGCACTTGTTTCCTTGCTTCCCCAGCAAAACCTGACATGATCTCCCGGCTGGAACAAGGGGAGGAGCCGTGGGTCCCTGATCTCCAGGGCTACGAGGAAGGGGAGATCCTGAGGAATGTCCACACAGGTGAGGATTCAGCTAAACTGACTAAGAGACCAATTATTGTATCCTCATGGCAGACATCACATATGAATTTTCATCAAGCCTGTCTGACCCTTCAGCCCCTACCTTCTTCTATATTTAGAGGATGTGGAGGAAGGATGGGTCCCCTCATCTCTCTCCTCTGGGGAAGGGTTTGGGAGGCTGTGACATTTTGGGGTTCAACCCAGACCAGTAAGGAGTTATGTCACTGCCTGTCCTACAACTATGATGCCTTATATGCTCTGCTACTGTGGCTCATAGCCCAGACACCAACAGCCAGCAGACAAGCCTGTAGGTCACAGCCTGGCTTCCACTGCCCAGTTATTGTTAGCCCAGACACCAACACCCCTCCAGTGCTGAATTTCCTAAAAACTGTCTCCCTGCAGTGCCCAGAACGCTCCTAGAATACTCACAGAAGTTATTAAGTTTGTTGCTCCTTTAAAGAGGCAATACACTGCAGCTCATTAATTTCACTGGTGTTTGACAGACCCTCCTATCTCAATCCAAGCACTGAGCTGGTTTAGATAAAAAGTACAAAAGTTTATTTGATTAAAGAGATAGGATTGAAGTTAATTCCAGTACAAGGGATAAAGATAGAAATTGTTACAAACAAACAAACTTAAAAATGTGCTTTCTAAGACTAAAGTTTAACTTCAACAGTTTACAATTTTTATCTAAGGGTATGTCTACACTACGAAATTAGTTCGTATTTATAGAAGCCGGTTTTATAGAAATCGATTGTG